CATTCATTATAATTCAGTTATTAAAGGTATAGATTACCTTGGGCTCTTAGACAACCTCCTTGCCTACTGCCTACTGTGAGTCTAATTGTTTTATGTTATCTATACCATTGATAATTTAAATGATACAGTAATTTCACAAGAATTTATGTGGAGCCTTAGTTCTGAGCAGTTTGAAAACTTCAGTGCTCATTAACTTAAAAATATACAAGAATTAGTGGTCAAGTGATAATCCACTATGAACTGGAAACAACTTTATTGGAATCTCACATGACCTTAAGTTCTTCTACCTGTCAGAGTTATTTCCAGGTATTCATTTTACCATATGGAGTTTTTACCTTGAAAAATGTCTTCTTTCCCCTTCCACTTACCAATCACCTATGTATACTTCAACTTTCACTGGAAAAAAGAGAAAATCAGTCTTTATCCAAAATGCAATTGAACATTCTTGAACAAGAATCTGTTTATTTTGATCACCACAAATTCTCTGATTTCCTGTTAAATCAATACACATCCAGCTGTGAGCTTGGTTCTGAAGTTCATCTCTGTCTTACCCTTAAATGTTAAATTTCTTAATGATGGTATTTGTGCTACTGTGAGGTTCAGGACAGCAGAGGACCCTCTGCAGAAGCCATGTGGTCACTGTGGATGTATAAAATACCCTCTCCACCCGTGGAGATTTTTCACTGTAACATACTTTCCAGAGGGCTATAGAAAATGCTTGACCTGCTGGTCGTTTCTTAAATCTGCTGGTCAGATGAGGAGTTACAAGTGACTAATTCCCAAATTGGATTACTTCTAACAGTCTTTCAGTTGTTATATGATGTACAATCTCAAATCTTGGATTTTGTGGGTGAAGGAAGCAGAGGTGAGGCACGTGCTGTAGTTCCTATCAGCAGTGCAAGGCACAGACCCTGCTCTGTGCAGGGTGTAGATGCTGCTGGGCAAGACTAAGTGAGCTCAGGAAGAGGCAGGTACCCAAAAAGAAATGCATGTGGATGAAACACCTCAAAGAACTTCAATACTGTAAATAACTCCTCCTTCCAGTTCTCTAGGCAGCCAAGACTCAGTTCAAATGGTTTTAACCCCTAAATATTACTGTATAATAAATATTTTCTGTGTAATTATCTTAATTAGTTTCAGTATGTCTGCGGTCACCTCTAAAATACTGGGTTTGCTTTCAGGCTGCACAGGAAAAGGAAGCACTTCAACAAGAAGGTGATGATTTGGATGCAAAGATATGCAAAGCTCAAAAAGAAATCACGGCTATGGAAAACAGTTTGTGTGTACTTAAAAGCTGGAACACAAACTACAAAAACTCTTTCAAGGCACTCCCTGAGACAAGTAAGTGAAATAGAAATTGGATAGAAAATAGAACTTAATTCTAAATAATACTTATTATTTAACTTTTGTGCCCTCTGCTGGCTCTAGAACCAGTAGCTCTTAAATCATTCTCTCTTATGAAGTCAGTTACTTTTTCACAGTGATTTGGAATTAGTAGGAGGGTATTTAAAAAGCCCTGAAACCTCGAGGCACTGAAATACTTCCAACACCAATATAGTAATATTCTGAGATGCAGTTATTTTCAAGTGAAAATTGAGTTGTATGCACAGCACTAATGCTGCTTCACTGTTTGGGATCACAGGTGAGGAACTTGACGAAAGATTGAAACTAGAAAAGGACAAAAGGGATGCTGATGAAAAGTACAGACACAAACAAAGAAAGATCAAGGAACTTCAGGAAAATCTCCAGGTAAAATACAAGTAAAGGTCCAGTCCAGTCATACGAGACTGCAGCATGTAGCTAAACCCGTGCAAGTCATCCTAGATGAATAACAGGAAACTGTGGTACCATTTTTTTTCTGCTCTTTTATTAAGATACGATTTTTAGAAGCCTCTATATCCCCTTTCAAAAAATGAGTGATTATTTGAATTTTCTTGAATCACACCAAAATTTCAGGTGCTTAGTCACATACATCTAGAAGTTTCAGAATCCCACATGCACTGAGAGCTTCTTTTCTGGTAGCCACTAAAGCAGCTGTGTTCCTGTGCAGCACACACCACTATTGTACCTGTCCACCACTGCAGATTAAAATCCACACAGCTTGGAGCTCTGGCATCTACGTCCCAGGATTCTTCTGGAACAGATTCAGTTTCATTAGCACTGGGGGTGCCTCAGTTAAAACAGGATTAAATTAGCTGACTTGCAATTTAGCAGGCTGAGCACTAAATGCAGGCAAACAAGAGCCTGTGTTTTCAGGCTCCATAGCAAGGACTCACTCATGATTCCCCAATAATCAAAAAGCCACTTGGACCTTAAGAAAGAGCAACACTTAATTCTAACACTTTAGTTATAATTTTATAAGGCAGAAGAAAGCAAAGGCACATGATCATATTCCACATGATTGTTCTAAGTCCTGAGCCACTGCCTACAGTCAACAAGCATTCCTATTGCTTATTCTACCAGCATAGGACATAGCTCTTATTTCAGAGATCCTATTTCTTAATGTAAAGAAAAGGGACACAGATCTTCATCAGGGACTAAGTCCTGGGATATAATGAGGTGTTACAGCAAACCCATTTCTGCCTTTAAATTTTTAAAGTTTCATTTATTTATTTATTAAAAACCCAGCTGCCCTTATGGAGCTGATTTTACTCATACCAAAGGTCAAAGGTATCTCTTTTCCTACAGGAAACGATGGGGGTTTTTTTAGGATAGCTTGCACTGGTTAGTTGGTAGGGTGCCAAGTAAATAGTTTGTAGCCACTAAGATACATCTGAGAAGACATACCTGTAACTTCATTAACAGTACCTTTAAAAGAGATGTAAATTACCTGGAAGTTTCTTTGTCCAGGTCTGTATCCACCAAACAGTTGGACTGGCAGAAAGTTTCCAGTTAAAATTAGCACTAATTGCTTCAGCTACATTTAGAAACAAGTAGTTAATGACAACAGATCCTTCCACAAATACAAAAAGTTAAAGGATACCAAACCTGCTTTGTAAACTAATATTACTGTTCAAATGAATTTGCAGAGCATGCAACAACACTTTGATGTAATACAGAAGCAGCAAGCCCTCTTCAAAGAGCAAAAGAAGGAAAAACAAGCTCTTATTTTGCAGCTGAAGAAAGACATTGAAGAACAGAAGCCAAAACTGGAGAGGGTTATAAAACAGGTTTGTGTGTTTATTGATGAGAACTTCTAACTTTACAGTGATAAGACAATAGTGCAGGTTAAGCTCTGTGGGTTAAAGTCTGTGGTTTTAACTTAGCGGGTTTCTGGAAAAGTGTTGTATTTTCATAAGAATAATGCTTTAAAAATGTTTGTGTTAAGTGTTCCAAACTATCCAGAGAAATTCAGTCTCAGAGGAAAGATGGAACAGAAACACTGGAAGAGAGAGACATTCGTCTTCGTGAACTGAAAGGCTTCAACAGAACTATCAACCAAGTGATAGCTGATGTTCTAGAAGCAAATCCTGGTTTAACTGCAGCCTTTCAAATGCACTTTCACAAGGTAAGCTTTCCAGTTAACTACCACCAAAATCTTGAGTGAGAGCTGCAGCCTATTACTGAGTGTCTTTCAAGGACAACTCACAGTATGGGAAAACAGGGAAGTGTTCACCTCCTTTCAACTTCTCTTCAAATGCTGAGCACAATAAATGCTCTTGATATCCCATTCCTATTATACAACCATTAGGTCAACTTGTTTTTTCTTTCCAAATTTTTTAGTTCAATTTGGAGCTTCCTACAGCTGCTTCTCCCAATGGTAGTGAAACTTCTCAGTCCTCACAAAGCTCACTACCTCCTACCAGGTAAGTTCTAGCACTCTTGGGTTGCTCTGGGGTTTCTTATAAGATCAAGTTTAAATCAGAAAAATTAGTCCCTAACTGAAAGAATTCTTTACTCTTGAAGGTCATCTCAATGGTCTTTTTGCTGAAGACTCTAAAAACTTTCTCCTTACTCTGTCCTTTAAGTTTACTACATTTTTCTATGTTTAGAAAACCCAATAATTACAGAATAATTACATTTACTTTTGTTTACTGTGCTCTAACTAAAAAAAAAAAGTGGTTTAATGTTATAAAAGCACAAATTTGATACACATTTTACAGTAGGTAGTGTGAACACCCCTTCCTAATTAAAGAGAAGATATTGATGCTTTTACTGGTACTTTCTTCCCCTGTTCAAGGTATGCTCAGTTAGAGCCTGTGCCATGCTGACCCAATTATGATCCAACAGTCCCAGGGGTTACTGAAGCCCTTAAGTGGTGGTGGCTACAGAGCTCTTTTAGGGGGTTTCACCTGGAATGAACATGGCTACTGGGTGGCTTCGTTGTGAGCCACCCTTGGCAACTCTGTTTTAGATGCAGGGATTTCTGTAGCCTAATTAGTAAATTTTTGTCTTTCAGATTCCCCAGTAGAAAACCGTCAGCCTCTGGTCAGGTTTCATCAGCCAACATTGTGGAGCTGACCTTGCCTATCCCCGCCCCTGAGGAAGCAGCAGCTCTTGGCTCCCAGCCAGCCAGCAGAGGCAGCACCTCTGGGATTTCTGAACGCAAGAAGTCTTAAGTCATTTTTTGGAGGCTACATTAGTTGAGATTTCTGAATTTTTGCAACTAACTTATATCCATGGAGTTACCTGGAAAACTCACAGCTGAAGTACAATTGTCATTGCGTGGTTCTGCCACTCACCTTTGTACATTTCCCTGTACACCGTGTAACCTTTTCTTCAGCAACACAACTGCTGCCTCCAAGCACTTGTAAAGCAAATCCCCACCAAAGCTCAAACCAAGGGCTCACACTTGAGCTTACCTAGACAACAAATGGTGTTGCAAAACTTGCTTTTCTACATCAAGTTAGGTTTTTGGGTTTTTTTTACGTTAGTCTTAGAGAACGTGCAATACGCTTGCCTTCATGGACACAGCAGGGTTCCATGGAGTAGACAGCACATGTAAGAGTGCACCAGGATGAAACATAACAGCAACATTCACAAAAACCCAGACACAAAAATTAAGAAAAAGTAAGAAAATTTAATGATCAAATGGGCTATATACATTGATGGCACATGACTTCATTCCGTTATCCCTTTTATATAGCTGGAAGTTAAGTTTGATAGAAGAATATCAACAGTCCATAGAACCCCAGGGACAAGGAAAACCAAGCCCAGCTCTTGTTAAAGTGCATATTTGATGTGAGCACAGCTAACTACACCCAGGGGTATCAAGGGATTTCAGCCCATCAGACAGAATATTGTACAGGAACACCTCAAAAGCACAGGAAACTTGTATTTTAAATAATAACTGATATTTTATGTAAGATATTCTTCCATCGCTTTTCACTATATGATGTTTTAGAATTCTTTTGACATTCTGAAATGCAGAAAAAATTCTGCCTCTCTCTCAACTCTTTGTGTGTATTTTCTCACAAGATACTAAGTTAGAAGTTCACATAACTACACTCATCAAGTAGTGTATTCTCAGGTACTTCACTGTTTCTTCTGCTTACTTCCTTTTTCCCTCTCAAACTCAGCTATCTGATTGAATATGTTAACTAAGTTCTGAGGCAGGTTTCTTTTAACACCACTTTCTGCTTGTTCTGTACCATTTAATGGCACTTCTTCTTTATCAGGTTCCTTTGTTTTATCAGTCTCTTCATAACTTCTTTTTCTATTCTTAGACTCACTTTCATTTTTATGGTGCCTGTCACTATCATAACCTTTGTCACCTTCATGTGAGCAGCTCCTAGAATATGACCTGTACTTCCCCCCTGACCTGCCAGAATAGTCAGACCCTGGGGACATGTAATACCTGTCGTGACCTGAGTCATATCTCTTAAACTGCTCTCTTCTCCACTCTCCATCCCTTTCAAATCTCCTGTAATAATGCATTCTAGGTTTATAATCTGATTTATGATACGAACCTGAAGGACCCCTCCAACTGGAGAAAAATCTCTCTGGTCTACTGCATTTTTCAGTTTTGCTATGACTTGGCTGACTTCTGGAGCTACTGTAAGAATCTCTTGAATCTTCAGACCTACCTCCAAAAGTGTCTTCATCATCACCTGAAGTCCTCGAAAAAGAACAGTGTCTGTCTTTCTCTTTTACCTCCATTTTTGGGCATGCTACGCTGTCCTGCCTTTCCAGCAGTTTTTCCACTTCAAAACTTTGGTTAAGAAAAGAAGCAGAGGTATCAGCTGGAGGGGAATACCACTCCTCTTTCCTATTCTGATCTTTATAATGGGAAGAAGCTCTAGAGGAGCTTTTTTTGGAGCTGCGAGCAGACTCAGATCTACGCCGACGCTTTTTCCTACATTTCTTGTGATCAGAGGAAGAGGAGGAAGAAGAAGCTGATACATCTGATGATGAATCGCTTGATGATGATGATGAGGAGGAGGAGGAGGAAGATGAAGAAGAGGAGGAGGAGGAAGTCGATACTTTCCTTTTCTTCTTCAACCTAAAAAAATAATAAACCTGTGAGATAACCTATAGTGTCAGGCAAAAACTACACATAGAAAGCAAATCTGCATTACCCCAGCTTGGGCTGTACAGTGAGAAAAGAAACTGAGCCTGACTGGCAAGACAATTTCTTGTCATTTCTTCATCAAAAAATTAAGATTAAATCCACTGAACATTTTGTTACAAAAGACCTCTTTCCCAATTTCACATGGCATTATGCTTTGCAAATATGTCACTTTGCAAAGTATTCCTTGAACAACTTCTCTTCCATATGCATCTCCATTAAACGTTCTATGCACTAAAGGACACTATGCACAAAAACATTCTGAGGAAAAAGCAGCTTACCCAGGGAGTTCTCCCCAGCTTACTGTTTGTTGAGATGGATTGCTCACAGTCTCAACTGCACTTATTGCCACATAACCAGTACACTGAATGTAACAGTTACCTTTTTTCTTCTTTTAAGAGCTTACGCAATTTTTCTGCACTTGTTTCTATTTTCTTTGCTTTCTGTCTCTCTTCTTTGGCAGCTTGTTTCTCCCTCATTTCCAAAGATTTCTTTTTTGAACCCAAGCATCATAAAAAAGATTACATTAGTAGTGTTAACACGGGTATTAACCCCCATTCAACCCCATCCAAATGTATACACCAGGAATGTTTTTACCAGGATTCCCAGACCAAAAATTAATATTGTTCAGGAATTTGGTATTGGCCGTTGTGACAGGTTTATATTTAAAGACCATATTGCAGTTTTTATTCCATTTAAAAATATATTTGACCAGTCATTGCCATGGTACCCATGATCCAGCACACCAGGAAGCATAGAGTCCAAAAGTTTTATGTAGAATATGCAAAAAAAATCCCCAGTATCACCAACATGTAGAAAAATAAGGAAACCCCCCCCAAACAACCAAAACAGAAGAGTTTGAGGGAAAGTGTCATCATTATTGTAGTTTACAAGAGAAACACAGCAGAACCCAGTTGAAGATGAATTCGTGTTTGAATTCGTGTTTGAATTCATGTTTGAATACAAACCGTTTTGTAACAATTTCACATAGCAGTTTGATGCATAGTTTACGTAAGAAATCAAGTTCCAGGGGTTTGGTGGTGATGAGCAGCACCAGACGGCAGGCACAGCAACAACAGTTCCGTTCAGAGGGAAATGCATTGGAGAAAAACACATAATCAGTATTACAGGAAAACACACTGCAGTTGTTTTAGCCATTCTACACAGCAGGGACAGTATCAGACTTATGTACTAAGTTACAGGTAAATGCAGGAGAGCATCTAAGTAGATAAATAATCCTTAAACTCCTTAAGTCCATAAGAGATCAGACTTCTGCCACTTAACAGCCCTACAGAGTCACTCTATTCACATTGAGCAGGAAGTCTGATTACAGTTTTCAAAACTCACCAACTGTCTTAACAGCTATAATAAAGGAAACCCTTCACTGCAGCCAAGGCCATGCATAGCAACAAACAACAGCTGTCATATTCTTTATCTGCTGCATCAATGACTGCAGAAGAATGTCAAAGGAGTAACATTTATCTCCTACTTGCTGAGAATATTCTTCATCATTTTAACTGACACCTCTTTCTAAAGCAGCCAAATGCAGGTACTGCTCAAATAAAATACACCTCTATCTCTTATCTCTGGTGTAGCTCAGTTTTATCAGATTGTCCTATCTCCTCTTCCCCTTTGTTTCCACACATCCTGTCAGCATTATGGCTCCACCAACTGAAGAACTGCTGACTAAGGCCATCTACCCCAGCCTGTGTACATCCTCACATGCAGAAGCACAGAACAACACAAGCCTGCTCCTCAGTGCTCTATTTTACTCTTTGACCCACTCTGGAAGACAACACAAGTAAAGGAGGTAAATAAAAGGGAAAAGATGACAACTCAGCACAGAGACCCAGCAGGCTCACCTGGGAAACATGCTGCGTGCAAGGGAAGAGAAAAAAACCACCAGACAGCAGAGGAGAAAGCTGAGATATTCAAACTGTCTGCCCGCCCACCCTCCACCTCCTGCTGTTTTCCTTCAAATTACCTTTTAATTTCCCTCTCATGTGAGTTCACTGTGCTTCAGCTTTGCCTGGTGTTGCTCTCTCTTATTCTAATTACCCCAAGGACCAAGGGTCCGGCCAGACTATGGTAACAATGTCTTATTTGGCTTGTGGAAGTATTTTACACTTTGATCATTTGTATTCACAGAATGTTTTAAATTGATCTCATTAATCATGTTGTGTGATGAGATATTGTGATCCCTGCTTTGCTCTTTCCCTGTCTCCACTGTCTGGCATTTCTTTACTATCCCAAAACAGTGGAGTCACCAAGAGGTACCTTTCTTCTGGTAGGTACAGCCATAATGCTCACTAGAAAACATTTACTGTGGAGTAGGGAAGCAGAGAATAAGACAAACCATCAATTTAACCCCTCCCTGTTGAAAGGATTTAATATAATTTTTGATGTTCATTTACTGTCACTGAGAGCATCATATGAAAAGAAAGTAAAGAATCACCTGCATGTGCTTATGGAGTTTTGTTAAGGCCTCTTCTGCTTCCTGAAAAGTTTCATCCAAGCTTAAGGCTTTTTTATAATAACTTTCAGCATTTAATAGTTTCTCTTCCTCTTCCAACCTGTAATTCAAGTAATAATTCATATACAGTTAGGACACAGATTTTGACAGCTGTTTCTTATTTTAGGGCTTTCTAATTTGCAAGTATTTCTTATTTGCACTATGACATTACCACTGCATCCCTCTGAGACCCCCTCTATGAGCTCACAAAAACAAATACACAAATACAAAACAGTATTTCTGACCTTACCATCTCATAATTCTGACCTGTAACACTACTCTTTGGAATACCAATGCCAGTTTCAAAAATACTGTCTCTCTCATCTTAACACATGGCTTAAAAGCAACCTATTCTCTGAATATTCAAAACTAAAATTTTACATTAGAGTGAGTCACCAATATTTCAGCAGAGTAACAACATAATTTTGTTATAAAAATTAAAAAAAAAAAAATCAAACTAAACAATCCTCAACCTTTTGGAATATATTCAAACAATTCACAGGACTTTATGCAAGCCTGATATCCTACCAGTGAAAGGGTATCAAGGATTAAAAAGGATACCGAGGATTAAACCTCAAATATTTTGCCAGGATTTTAACTGGGGTAGAGGACAAAGTGTAAACCAACTACACAAGGACAGATATTTCCAAGGACTTTTATTTTTCTGTAAACACACAGCAGGAAGGAAAGATACCATTCTAGTGAGGACACAGAGTAGCATGAGCAAACTTGTTAACAACCAACCAAACTCATAACCCCCAACACTTACTGCCCGCCCCTTTCCACAAGGGTCTGACACAGGTATTTCCTCGCATTTCTATGGGTAGGACAATTTTCTAAAGCAATTTCAAAATCCCCGATGGCTTTGTTTAGACTTCCTTTGGTTGCATACCTAGAAAAACAGAAAGTTGCATATCAAACAGTGATGCTTCTCTTTCACAAAAGGGGAAAAAAGTGAAACAAGCAGACTTACAGAGCTCCACGTGCTACTAAAGCTTCAACATTTTGTGGATCAATTTCCAAAGCCTTGTTGTACTCATTCATGGCTTCCACGTGGCGCCCAACCTTAAAATAATCCACCCCAGCCTTTACACTGGAGAAAAAAATATTTAGAAAACAGTATGTACAGTTAGTCTATTGTAGATTGTTCTGTTACTCACAAATTATGATTCCAAACAAGGGACAGGTTAAAACCTGACCTTGTTATTGTGCACTTCACACTGGCGTTTCAATTAGGTGACAATGACCTAACTCCACAAAAATGTATTCTTTAATCCAATATCTAAAGGCACTTGAGAGCATTTCTGCAGACAGTGCTACTATATTACATTGTTTTTCATTTATGGAATTATTTTTTAAGCAGTTTTCTGCACAAAACTATGTGTGACCATCATTAACCTTGAACAAGCTTAATTATATCCAAAGCTAAAAATCCCCATTAGAGTAATGGCAGAAGGTGACATGGCAGATGGTACACACCAGCTCATCTCACACAAATATCCTGAGGTTTTACATTTCATATTACCTGAACATTTCTTGCACATTTACCAAGAGATTAAGTTATTAGAAGAGAATTGATATAAGCTGATTTTCAGAACAATTCCTTACAGACTTTTCTCAAAAATTAAAATTTAACATTATAACCAGCCTTTTCCGCAATTAATCAACGTTGCAAATAGACTCTATAGTGTAAAAGCAAAAGCAATTTTCCAGGGCTGCTGCTCCATTTAACTTTCCAAAGACTGCAAGTGCACTTGTTACATCTACAGTTTGAGGCTTAAAGGACTTGACAAGTATGAGGTCATTCAACACTCAGTTATAAAATAGAAAATTGTGTGCTTGGTGTTATCACAAATCTTGCTCTGAACTCTTGAATGGGTCAAGATATTAAAAGTATTCTAGGAACAACTCCCTTAAGCCTGACACACATTTTGGAACAGAATCTCAGGACTTTATCTGTCACATACCCACTCAGCAGATACGTTTTTTTCAACAATATCCTGGTTACCTTGCTAGGTATGCAGTGGAAACACTGTTTCAATGTATGCTTTCTTTGCAGAAATATAATCTGTAACCCAATCTAACAAAGCCTTTGACAAGAAGCATCACATACCATTTCAAGGCCCAAGATGCAGACTGCTTTTTCCTCAACGCAGGGGCAAAATCCTCTTCACTGAAATTTTTACTTTAAGGAAGAAACAAATAAAAACATCAAGCTGTCTGAGTCTACAAAGTCAAGTTTACAGTCTGCAGTGTAGTTGAAATAAACTGAAATATTATTTGTCCATGCCTTCATGCTCTCCCTCAGTCAGGTCTATTCTTTCATATTTCTGAAACCAGTTATTCCCAAACTATTCTGTAAGTGCTGAACTGAACCAAGACAACTACAGTACATTTAACAAAAACATAAAAAAGTCCACATCTGCTTTAAGCCTAATATACATTGGGGTCACAACATTAATTGTTGCATGTATTTGACTCTTATTTTATGAAAGGGGTCAAACCTACTACTACAACAAACATTGTGAATAAACATTTGTCAGAAGACATTAAAACCTAAACATCCTGCACTTCGATCCACAAATGCTGAAAAGAGCTACACAATAAACTCCATAAGTATCTCATATCAAACACTGTGTGTGGTAAGGTGTTTTGCTTATTCAGAGCAATAGAATTTCAAATGCAAATGTCTCACCTTAGAGGAACAGTTTGCTTTTAAATATTTTAGGACGTGTATGCTGCAGTCGTGCAAGTCAAAATGTAAAAGGTTTAAGTGATCTAGGACTCCCACTCACAAGTGTATTTCAATGGATTAGAATAATCTCCACAGAGCTACAGGAGAGGAACAATGTAAAAATCACTTACATTTGAAGACTTCTCAGCAAAGACGGTGGATTTGACTCACTTAGTCCCAGCTTTTCTGCTAAATATTCAACTAATGATGGATTAGCAAATCCTGGGGAACGATGCAAAACCTCTTCAAACGTCTCTCCTGTGTTGGCAACTTCCAGGCTTCGCCTTAAAAAACGCACCAACGTGCACAAATGAGACCTCAGGCTCTGTACCCTATTTCATCACGCTTGTGTTTAAAATAAAACTGCTATTATGGTATCTGATTACTGCTCACAAACTCTTCTCTTCTACAGGCATGTATTTTCCTGCTATTTACCCACCCTTATGTCTTTTACCCCAAGTGAGCTTCTGAAACCTATTTGAACACCCACCCCCATATCACCAAGACATATAAAAACATACAAATATTACAGACAGCTGTGTCCCCATCTACTAAGGGGAATTTTAAAATGCTAAGAATTCATATCCCAGTCTCCCAAGGTTTGGGGGCTTTTTATTTTTTTGTTAACACAGTCCAAAAGCAACAGATATCTCACTGTCTTTTGCTTTCCTTATATTTTTGGAAAGAAGCTAAAAAGCCAATTACACCTACATATCCAGACACAAGTATGCTAAAGAAAGAAACAACAAGGAGGACGTGATCACCCAATTAAATCAGAAAGCTCACTGAGGAGTTTAAGGTCAGAGACGTTCTTCAGACACCTTGACTGCACCTGCAAGTGCAACCAAACAGCACATCCTTACTTATAATGCAGTGGGAAGTCATCAGAGGTGATCACGCCCAGTTTGGTGCTGGAAAGGTTGGGTGGAAGAGCTGAGCTGTAAAGTGACACGGCCAGCTTCTCATGGTAACGGTCAACATCCTTGAGGGCAGCTGCAGAAATAATACAGGGAAGGATAAAATTACAGAAATGGCTCAAACCTGGAACAAACTGATTCCTGACAACGTCTGCAGCTGCTCACCTCGAATAAGGTCTCCAGTTTGATAATATGACAGAGGATCTCCATGGTTGCTTTGGGGAGGCACATCCCTCACAGGACACAGGGCCTGCAACAGAACACAGCAAGAATGTCATAAATTAAGCCATAGGGTTGGGGTTCTTTTCCTCCCCAAGATCAAGCTAAAAAATAATATTTTAAGCTTAATGCACATCAGAATTGCAATTTTAAAAATACACCTTGATTCAAATAAAAATTCATGCATCAACAAATGATGAACTTTTCAACCCAATAATGTGGGTCACAGAAACATGGGTTCACTGGCTGAGCAAAGTATCACAAGCTGCCCACAAAGTCAGACACTACCCATCATCCCAAAGCTGTTTCACCTTTACATCTTCCACTCCATTAAGAGATGCAAGAGACAACAAATGTCAAAAACGAGCTGTTGACCAAAGCTATATCTTACAGTGATTTCCAAATCTGCAATTTCCCGTATGACACCACTTCCCAGACAAATCAACACCATGAAAAAGCCAAATTCACGGATTGATGTAATCCTCCCAATCACGATATTGCCACGCTCGATGTCACGGAAGAACAGCTCTCTCCTCTCCTCTCTGGGCACCTCCAAGAACCTCTCCAGGGGTGGCATGACAGCGTAACACTCTGCAATAAGGGCACAGCCAGTTACAAACAGCCAAGCTCCACCCTGAGAGCATAATATATTTGACGACAGCAAAGCGCGTGAAAATATGTTTGGGTTTTTTTTTTTTTTTGTGATAACAGGAAGCTTACTTATTGCCTACAAAAATCACCAGGAAAAATTTTAAGCCTGTTTTTAAAGATACCGCAAATTCAAGTGCTGTCCTTACGGAGTGAACCCACCCACCCCAACTCACACACCCTCATTCTCCTCGATGGTGTCCTCGATCGGCCCGTTGGGTTTCCACGAGTGCGCGAACAGCAGATCCGCCTTCTTGGCGATGAAGCGCTTTATCTCGGTGTCGATGCTCGCCCTCTCTTTCCTGGGGGAAGGAGAACGCGGTGAGTCGCGCCCCGCGGCCCCTCACGGCCCGCCCGGCCGCTGCCCCGGCGCCCCTCACCAGGCGGCCGGCGGGGCCCCGCGAGGCGGCTCCGGGGCGGCCCCGGGCGGCGGCAGCAGCCCGCGGAAGTCGGGATTGTCGTGCTGCTCGGCGCGGAGCAGCGACAACAACGCGGGGCCGTGGTGGCTCAGCGCCTGCCGGAGCAGCTCCCGATCCATCCCGGCGCCAACGCCGCCGCCTCGCCCGGAACGGGAACCGCCGCTCGGACAACGGCGACAGGGCGGGACCGGGCGGCCGCAGCGCCCCCGGCAGGCGGGAGGACCGCGCTGAGCGGCGCCGGCACTGCCCGCCCTGTTCGCGGGCCCGTCTCTGTTTTATAAACAGAGAGTAATTAAAGAGAGAGTAATTAAAACACGCTTCACAAACTACACAGGTTTTCCCCGCAGGAATCCTGCTCGGCTCGGAACCGGCGGCCCGTGCAGGCCGTGCCCGCGGCGGCGCTGCCGGGAGGGGGCGCTGCGCCCCCACCGGCCCGGAGCGCCCGGAGCGGGGCCCGAACCGGGGCTGTCGCGGGTCGGAACCGGGGCTGTCGCGGGCTCGAACCGGGGGTGTCGCGGGCCCGGCTGCGCCTCCTCAACTCGCAGCTCCGGCAGCGCCGCGTTCTCGGGGCGCTGCCTGTTCGCTTCCGAGGGAGCGACCCTGGAACAGCACGGGCTGGGGCTCGGGCAGCGCTGCGGTGTCGGCACCGAGCTACGGCAGTGGAGTGCAGAGAAAGGAAACGCAGCTGGGAGAGGGTCTGGAGCACAAGTGCAGTGCCGGTCTGCTGAGGGAGCTGGAGGGAGCTCAGCTGGAAAAAGGGAGGCTCAGGGAAAACCTTCTCACTCTCTGCACCTCCCTGACGGGAATGTGGAGGCAGACGGGGTCAGGCTCTGCTTCCAGGGAACCAGCCACAGGACGAGGCGAAACGGCCTAAAACTGCTCCAGGGGAGGTTTAGGTTGGCCTTGGAAGAATTTCTTTATAGAAAGGGTGATTAGACATCGGGACGGGCTGTCCACGGAGGTGGTGGAGTCGCCGTCCCTGGAGGTGTTTACGGCAACATTAGACGTGGCACTTGGTTCCATGGTCTAATTGACAAGGTGGTGTTGGGCCACAGGTTGGACTCGATAATCTCCGAAATCCTTTCCAACCCGAGTGGTTCCGTGATTGTGTGAGTAAAGGACAGGGCGCGGGGCTGGGCTCGGCTCCGCAGTGTTCCTAATCCCGGTCCCCTGGGCACAGCCCACAGGTGACACGGTGTGCCGGCAGGCACGTCCTGGCTTTACTTTACTTCCCTGGCTTCACTGAAACAGGGAACACAGGCGATTCCCTGGGGAGAAGGCAATGGGCTGAGGGCACAACCAAGCTACTGCCGCGGGCCTGGTGCCTGCTCCCCAGAGCTAACTTTAGATGCTAAAAAGACACTTCGCTCAGGAGGCTCTTCATGCTAATCACTCTCCAGCTAATGGAGAAAGGTGCTTAAAACCAGCTGGATATAATCCAAGCCTATTAGAAGAATCACAGTTTTTCAGCTCCCAGGAATAATTTGTCCCTGGTATCGCATTTAATAATTAATTTTAAAAGGGTAGGTGGGTGGGGGAAAAAACCCACTGCAAACAGCATAATGTCACTTCTCCCTTCAGTACAATGCTGAAGAAAAAATAGCAATCTGTCTGTCAGCAGATCAGGGACACAGACTCCTCTAGGAAGCAGCATGACTGAGAGGGCAAGGATCATATCAAAGACTGGTCTCAGTTCAAAGCCAACAGGGATATCACTGGTGTAGCAGACTTGGGGAAGACACTGGAAGGGCAAATTTATATTTTAGTTTCATTCCATCTCCCCCTGCTTTAATGTAAAAGAAGATAAAGGAGGCACAACATTTACTATGAACTAAACAGCTGCCAAAATTTTGATTTCAAGTCTTCCTGATCTGTGTGTGCTCTTACCATGGTTGGGAAACACCATTAACACCAAATGGAAATGTCTGGACATTAAGACTGATTAGACACAGGTTGGCATGGGAAGGTTAAGGCACCTGCATGGATCCAATGCTAACAGGAGCCTTTCCTGGATGAGTTATGTGGCAAGTGCAGTGTCCTGAGCCGTGTGGCACAACTGCAAATAGATGCAGTTTTATTTGAGGGAACAGTATTTTGAGTAAGAGTTAATTGGTGTTGCTTAGCAAATAAAAGAGCTAATAAAAAAAAAGTTGTTTGAAGTATGAACTCTGCTTGTGTAAGCATTTCTACAGTCTCATATGCAGATACACACGCACAATGTACAAGAAATTAGACATTATGAGTAAAGACTTCCAGTGTGTTACAACTTCTGGACTTAAAACAGCAGCAAATAATCACTGCGAAAGCACAACCACCTACAACAACAGATTCTTCTTACAGATGTTTTCTTCTTTGTATAAAGTCAATTGCATTTCAGGAAATTCAGTAGTTTATAATACAATAATACACAGAAGGTAGTTGCCCCTGAACGTGAGGGCTAACTTCATATTTAAAGTGATCCATTCTTTATCTGGGCCAAACACATCCTGAAATTATCTTAATCAAGTAAACTAAATTACCCCAAGTAATTCCAACTTCAGAAAAAGCTTTGCCAGGGCAGAGTATGTGACCATGAACTTCTAATTTTTGTTCCCATTTTCTAGGTTATACTAATGAACTATAGAAGTAATGTAAGACTGTGACATATTGAACATTGTTCCATCTCATCCAGGGTACACACAAGCTTTTGCATTCTTTTCTCTCACAGGATACTCTCTCAATGTTCATTGTGATTTTAAAAATATCTCTCCATCTTTTCAGTGGTGGAAGTTTTCTGCTTTTCTTTTCATTCTTTGTTTGCTTTACTTCAGTTGCCCAATAGGAAATGCTTTTGATAAAAGAGAATAGCAGCCACCACAGTTCAGCAGGAATAATGATAAAAGGAGAAGTTTGGAATAAAGCCAGAGCTATATACAGTGCTCAGGAGATGCCAGGCCTGAGGGTGGGGCATGCTCCATATGCTGTTAATCCTCTGTTCCATTGATTTAGGAACTGCCTGGATGAGTAGTGCCTGATTCCATCTGTTAAGTAAACACAGGGTGGGCAGGAGTGTCCTGATTCTGCAGGAGAAAATGATACAAGTCAATATCTCACCCTGCTGGAGGAGGAACACTCCAGATACTCTGAAACCAGACGTGTCTGAGCACACTCGGTGTAGATCTCACAGTTCAGGTCAGTGCATGCCAAAAGGCAGCTCACAAAATCCATCCTGCAGCCTTTAACTCCTACAGTAAAAAGATTATGAATTTACACCACACTGGCGTTGGACCTAGGGTCAAACTTGCAGTGATATTGCAACAACCTGAACAACCCTGAACAACCCAAACACTGCTAGGCATGCTAGAACTTCAAAGTGGGTTTGTGAAATATTAAGCAGATTTCCATCCAAATCCAGTGAGCACAGCTTGAATGCGACAAGGTCAAGCTGCTTCTCAAATGTTTCCAAGTATCCAGTATCACTGGTGAAGCTTACAAGAAAATCTCAGAAATTCTGTGCCCAGAGCCACATTTTATCCCTGGCAAAAGGTTTAAATTCTCCAAGATCATACATGTCAAAGTATTATTCTCGGTAAATTTTGGGCACGTTTGAAGATAAATTTTAGCCTGTTGCAAATGGGAGTGAAATATTCAACTAAATATGTCATTTAGGCTAAGGAAGAGGAATCTAATAGTAGTAATGAGAATGAACATGACGAGTTGTATTTCCAGCTGTGTTAGACTTATGGAAAATTCTGCCAAAAGCAGTTCTGCTGCCTAGACTTGCAATTTATGAAGCAGCAAAGAGACTGTCCAATATCCAAGATATTGTTTTAGCTCAAGACTGATGAAAGGACCTTCAGCACACAATAACTGCTAGCCAGTTAATGGCCCTAATATGAGAAAAACAAGATGTCTGCAAGTATAATCACTAAATATGATGGAGGAAATGTGAAGACAACCCCAAACTCAGAGTGATGGAGCAACCCAAGCCGTGGCCATTCAAGCATTTCCCTTTGTAATGAGTTCATTGTTCAGTCCAGGTTTGGCATGGTCTGTAAGAGAGTATGGTTTCAGTGATGCAGACTTACCTGGAGTGTGCTCAGCACCTGTTTTTGGTGTCGAGGACCTTTGCACTTCTCAGATTTCTAGAAACACATAGACAAAGAATAGTCAGTTGCATGTTATAAATATGCAAAGACACTGTAGAAACTGCCCAGGCTCTGAATCGGCAGTTAGACCCTGCTGGAGTACAAGGGAAATAATGGTTGAGAAATGTCAGTGGAGACCCCCCTCTGAGTGCTGAGGATTTCTGTCAGGCTGCAGGCAGTGGCACTGCTGAGCCTTTGTACGCTCTGACTTCAGCTTGTGCACCCAGTGCAGCGTTTTGTGCCTGCAGAGTAGCGACAAGTGCTTAGAGGTTTCAGGTGAAATGGAAAAGGTTACTGGAGGAAACATTGCCCTTGACATTTTTTTTACCCTGAATATGAAAACCAGGCTGTGTTGAATGAAAGTTTGCTTACTTGGCAGGAACCCCAGCAGGCAACTTAACAGCACTCATGACACAGACAATATGTACACACCCACCTGTACAGCTTGCAATACTAGAAATCCTGCCTGCAGAGCAAATTCCTGTGATACATGGGGGCTCAGCAGCAGGTGTGCTGAGCAGACAGGTTTTTGTGAGGTTTTCATGGATTTTCCAGCTTCTAGTGCTCCACAGACTGGCAGTATCTCCTGTTTTATAGCAAGGGACAGCCATCCTGGTTTCCAAGTTTTAGAGTGATTGCACCCTAAAGCAGCATCAAAATTTTCCTGTCAGAAGAGTAGATCACTACTTAGAGCTCAAAATTACATTTCCAGGGTGTAGCAGAATATGGTGTGAGTATTTTACCTCAAGCCTGCAAGCACTACCAGAAGATCTTTAAGCATGCAACTTCTCTTTGTTATTAAGTCTAATTTGTAGTAGAGCAATATTCACATTTTCATTATAAAATTCTTTTTCCAGAAATTTGCATCTTTGTAGCTGTCATAGAACATGTATGAACTTTCAAAAGTTGTTCAAAGAAGTCTCTAAAAATATTTTGAAGATCTAAACCAGTTGGAGTTCTATTCCTGGTAAAACAACATGCTTATTTATGTA